ATGTGCAAAGCCTGCTGAAACAGGGCAGATTTCAAACCAGCCCCATTTTGACATGCCTACAAACTCTCAAGTACACTTTTACAAACAACTACTAATGAGAGGCGAGAGGCCCTGCAGAACTGAAACCTATCAGAGAATGAAAGAGAAGCTCCCCTCCAGAAAAAGAAGCTTAGTGTTTCTAAACTACTGCAAATTGTTTTTTTTTTTCCCCACACACAAAAACTAGTTGGGTGCCATCCCAAGCGCCCCCATGGACGAGCCTCCATTGCCGTAACACACAAAACCTACTTTGAAAAGACAATGTAACAATAAACAGACATTATGGTGAATCATGTATTGGGGAATATAATGCCATGTCAGGGTTCTGGAGACATTTTATAAATCACTTGACCTTCAATTTATTATGATGTCTAGTACCCAACTTTCTCTGTCTCTCTCCTCTGCACACATACACAAATATTTATGTAGAACATTCAGAAAGTTTTTTATATTTAAAAATATATTTATACTGTACATATATCATATCGTGTGTATTTATATATATGTATATAATACTTTTTTTTCATTGCCTTTAAATATATAATTCTGAATATTCAGAGAAAGAATTAAATATTTTTTCTTAAAATAAATAGATGAACAGATGTCATTGTCTGTGCAGTTCATGTGAAGGTCATTTCTGTTAATCACTGACTGAGGAACAGACTCCACTTTGTACCGTGAGCAGCCTCTGTCAGTGAAATAATTGTGCTTGTTCATGCCGTAGAGCGGAAGGCTCCCGCATGCCTGGGATTCTCTAGAACACAATGCTACACTAAGATCTATGTCTGTGCATTTAAATACTTCTTGTTATTCAAACCATTCAACAGCTGTGAAAAGGGGCCCCTAAACATATGGAAATGTCACTGTACACATACAAACAACGCCACTGCATTAAATACTTATACTTTCTTACTTATTTTATTGGATAATGAAACTTAAATAATTTTTTTTTAGCCCATTAAAAAAACACAACGAGATTCACATATAATTATTTTCGTCAAGCACCAGGATATACAGAAATCAATTTTAGATATTCCAATAGTTTATACCCAATACTATATCTTCATGCACATTGTATACGCCCATGATATGTTGTCTTTCCTGCTTATATTAGTATTTTTTCCTGTTTTTATTCTTCATTTTATTTTCATTTTATGAAGTGTGGAAGAATAGAGTGCACATTAAGAAAATTTAAGATTTGTGTCCTCTTTAAGAGAGTGATGCATTCTGGTAAAGTTTGTGGTCAGAGGGCTGACACCCATTATTTCCACACTTTATAGTAAAACAAGGCTCTCATTGACTTCCGTAAACCAGCATATAGACTGGCAAAAAGCCAGTGAAATCTGCCTCCTGTTGAGATCAAGGTTGTTGATACTTCAATGCAAGAAAGATTCGGGCCACACTTAAATGTTTGCATCCTGAATGCATTGTGTTATGTTTGGGACAAACCGATTTAGCTTCAGTATGGAATCCTCTGTGTTCTGGTGACAAATTGTACTCTGTATATTAAGCGCTTAAGAGTCTGTCCATAAGGTTGCACACTGCTAAAAGTGTTTGACATCTTAAAATGGGATGATGTCAGGGCACTTCTGGCACCATAACCACCAGAGCAAGCTGTAGAGGTTCTTGTGCTTAGTGTTCATTTAAAGGGGTGCTTTTTTAATGCACCATCACAACATGCGCACCTTGAACATGTCATGGTCTAATGTTTCCCCCGGTAGCTATAAGAATGTAAATAAATAGATATTCAGAAATTAATTGCATATCGACAGCAAGATAAAAATAAATATATGTTCGATAGTCTTGTTTCTTTGTATATTATAATGTACTACACTGTGCACAGTGGGATTTGCAAATACTTCACTAAATCTTCCTGCCTCTTCTCTCCTAATTTTTTTTTCAGGCAAATCTCAGTAGTCAAGATTTGTTGTGTGAAAAAAGCACTTCTATATTTTTCAAAAACGGTTTTATTTATTTACTAAAATGTTTAACTTTTTATAATGTAAAAACAGCCCAAGATAACAATTAATGTCACCTTATCAGATGCACACTCAATGAGACTGTGCTATCCAAGAATGACCTTGTTCCTCTGTTACTGGGGCATCAGCTGGGCTACTTAGACTAATATATATTTTCAGAATCCTTAGGAATTTGTTTTTAATTTTTTTTTTGCCCGCTGCCAAAGCTGTGGGCCAAGAAAATGGGAATCATTTTACATTACATATCTATGTTTATGCACTGTGTGTTTTTCAATATTTCCAGCCTGGAATGTAACTTTAAGAAAGACTACTTCTGGAAAAATATCCTTCCTACTTAAAAAAACTTAACCATCACAAACACAGGCTCCCCTTTATGGGAAGCACAAACAGGGGATATTGTTTCTTCACAAGAAACACACTTTACCAAAAATTCCTTGCAGTAAACCTGCCTATAAAATCCATCACAGGAGATTGAGATGTCTGAGTCGGCATGCAATTCTCATGGTTGAGATAGACCTAGATTATATATATTTCCCATATAGTAATATTAAATGTTACATGTGGATAAGGCAGATATGTCTGCTTTAACGCTTTGTTAAAACTGTCTAATGTTGTTATTTTTATTTTTTGTTTTAGATGTGCATTTGCAATAGAGTCCTCAGTCGTTTTGTCTTAACTTTGTAGTGCATTGTGTAGCAGACCAAGAGTACGTAGACATTTTGCAAAAGGCATAAATGACAGTGATCTGTATAGACCCATAATCAGGGCCAGATTAAGAGCCCAGTGGGCCTGGTGCTGACAATTATGACGGGCCTAGTTACAAAATGTTATTGACCAAAAATACCAAAACAGTCCTACCTCCTAAGCGTCATATATCTGATGGAGATGGTGCTGGAGGGAAACTCATAGGATGCAGCTATGAGAAAACACATACCCACGCTTTCATCTTTCAAGTAAACCCATACCCCCTAACAGCAGTGTCCAGTAAAGCAGGAAGTCTATGGACAGGGCAAAAGGGTGGGCCACTGACACAAATCACATAACCAGAACTGCCGAAAGGTGCGAACATACACAAAAAGGGGGCATGTCTGTGTCCCAATGTCTCCCAGTCCCTTAGTGTCTGTGTCCCCATGTCTCCCAGTGTCCCTATGTCACTAGGACACTAGAGGACATTGAGAGACATTGGGACACTGAGAGACCTGGGGACACTGAGACTCTTGGGGAAACTGGGAGACATGGGGACACTGGGTAACTTTGAGACATGAGAGGACACTGGGAGACATGGGGCACTGTGACACTGTGATACATAGGGGATACATAGGGGACACTGATATATAGGGGAGACTTGATAAAGACCTGGGTACAGGTAAAAATGTTGTGGTGTCCAATAAACCTGCTTAAATTTATCACAGTGAGTGCCTGAGATTTTTTTCTTTTATACTAAGGGACACTGAGACACTTGGGGTGCTGTGAGACATGGGAACACTGGGAGACTAGGGGACACTGATGCACTAAGGACACTGAAACACACCAGGGATACTGGGAGACATGGGGCACTGAGACACTCTGATACACAGGGGACACTGTGATACATAGGGCACACTGGAGACTTGATAAAGACCTGGTTACAGGTTGAAACATTGCGATGTCCAATAAATCTGCTTAAATCTATCACAGCATAATAATAACTACCTATTTCCAGAGCTAAAAGACTATGAATGTCGGTGTTAGCTGGAAAGGAACACAAGATGAGGAAATGTATGCTCTTTGATAGAACGCTGCACACCACTTATATTAATGGTCAGATAGCAAATCCAAAGCCAACTGGCTATACCTCTACCTACTCAGAAAAATAGATGATATATGCAGAAATAGATAAAGAATATAAAGTCGTCCAATTGTCCTAATCTCTGACTTTATTGAGTGAGGTCTCTATCAGGAGTGGGATTTTCTTATATCACACTGAGTAGGTGTCTAGGATACAGGGATCAGATGGCTGATGTCATTGATTCTACAATATCATAATATAGAACTAGTAGAAGGTTGTTTGTAATTACAAATTGTTGCAACCTCTCTTCTCCTAATTTTGGTTAATGCAATTCAATATAGGAGACAGTTTGAGTGAAGAAACTGAGTTAGATAGCTGTCAGGTTAGGGCTTCTGTATTATCACAGTGTTGCAATATTGTTGCAAAACGGAGAGCGCATAAAGAGGATACTAATTAGCTACAGTTGCTTTAACACTCAGTTGTATGGGGTTGGTAACTTGTTTCAGATTGCAGCCCCTATCTACTGCTCTTATCTAATGCCTGTATTGAATAAACTTGAAGAATTAAAAAATAAGTGAAAAATCTCTCTGTGAACTAGAAATGATTGAGTAGTTATTAACTCATAAGGTATTCACAGGCAGAATAGAGACAGGAGTAGAAATATAACAGCTTCTCTCTGATTGCTCACTAGACTTAAAACTATCACAGTGAGTGCCTGAGATTTTTTTTTTTATACTAGGTGACACTAGGAGACATGGGAACATTGGGACACTGAGACACTGGGAGACTAGGGGACTTTGGGAGACTAGGAAACACTGAGACACTGCGGACACTGGCACACTGCGGACACTGAGAGACACCAGGGACATGGAGACAAGGGGATACTGAGATACTAGGGACACTGGCTGGAAGACATGGGGACACTGGGAGTGCCCCATGTCTGCCAGGTCTCAAAGTCACCCAGTGTCCTCATGTCTCTTAGTGTCCCCATGTCGCCCAGTGTCCCCTAGTATTTGTATCCCCATGTCTCCCAGTGTCCCTTAGAGTTTGTATACCTATGTCTCCCAGTGTCCCGATGTCACTAGGACACTTGGGGACACTTAGAGACATTGGGACACTGGGAGACATGGGGACAATGAGACACTGGGAGAGACATGGGGACATGGAGAGACTTGGGGACACTGAGAGACATGAGGACACATGGGGACACAGAGACCTGGGGACACTGAGAGACAGGGACACTGGGAGACATGGGGACACTGAGAGACTAGGGGCCACTGGGAGACAGGGAGCCACTGTGTCCCTAGTGTCTCAGGGTCCCCATGTTCCCCAGTGTCCCTATGTCTCCCAGTGTCCCCAAGTCTCAGTGTCCCCAAGTCTCTCATCGTCCCCATGTCTCGCAGGCTCGTAGCTGCTGTCTGGACTCTCTGTGCAGAGCTGCTCCCCCGCGGATCAGTGAGTAGAGAGAGGCAGATGCTGTAACTTCTTATCCCTGCCTCTCTCCACACAAACAGCGACCCCTACTGGCTGGCGCTGGTATTGCAGAATAATCTCTGTTTATACTAAGATAGACATTTGTATTGCCGGTATTACTGCAATACCAGCACTGGCTAGGTATCCTCAAATACCTGATAAATACTTCTGAGAAATACCTGGCAACCATAAGAAATACATGAGAAATACCTGGCAACCCTAATAGTAGTGTGTGTAAAAAAAAAAAAATTTTTTTTTTTTTTAACATCAATGGGCCTATTCCATGGGCCTGGGCCTGGGCCTGGAGCTGCAGCTCCATCAGCCCCTATGTTAATCCGGCCCTGCCCATAATGAAATGTCAAGAATACTGCACTTTTAGTAGTAAACAAAAAGAACTGCAAGAACACAGCTCTATGGAATTAGAGAGAGAAAAGACATGCTGCAACATAAAACTGTATGAAAATTGCAAGATATATACACTGCTCAAATAATAAAGGGAACACTTAAACAACACAATGTAACTCCAAGTCAATCACACTTCTGTGAAATCAAACTGTCCAATTAGGAAGCAACACTGAGTGACAATCAATTTCACATGCTGTTGTGCAAATGGGATAGACAACAGGTGGAAATTATAGGCAATTAGCAAAAAAAACCCCAATAAAGGAGTGGTTCTGCCGGTGGTGACCACAGACCCCTTATCAGTTCCTATGCTTCCTGGCTGATGTTTTGGTCACTTTTGAATGCTGGTGGTGCTTTCACTCTAGTGGCAGCATGAGACGGAGTCTACAACCCACACAAGTGACTCAGGTAATGCAGCTCATCCAGGATGGAACATCAATGCGAGCTGTGGCAAGAAGGTTTGCTGTGTCTGTCAGCGTAGTGTCCAGAGCATGGAGGCGCTTCCAGGAGACAGGCCACATGGAGGAAGCCGTAGGAGGGCAACAACCCAGCAGCAGGACCGCTACATCTGCCTTTGTGCAAGGAGGAACAGGAGGAGCACTGACATCCAGCAGGCCACAAATGTGCATGTGTCTGCTCAAACGGTCAGAAACAGACTCCATGAGGGTGGTATGAGGGCCCGACGTCCACAGGTGGGGGTTGTGCTTACAGCCCAACACCGTGCAAGACATTTGGCATTTGCCAGAGAACACCAAGATTGGCAAATTGGCCACTGGCGCCCTGTGCTCTTCACAGATGAAAGCAGGTTCACACTAAGCACATGTGACAGACGTGACAGAGTCTGGAGACGCCGTGGAGAACGTTCTGCTGCCTGCAACATCCTCCAGCATGACGGGTTTGGCAGTGGGTCAGTAATGGTGTGGGGTGGCATTTCTTTGGGGGGCCGCACAGCCCTCCATGTGCTCGCCAGAGGTAGCCTGACTGCCATTAGGTACCGAGATGAGATCCTCAGACCCCTTGTGAGACCATATGCTGGGGAGGTTGGCCGTGGGTTCCTCCTAATGCAAGACAATGCTAGACCTCATGTGGCTGGAGTGTTTTAGCAGTTCCTGCAAGACGAAGGCATTGATGCTATGGACTGGCCTGCCCGTTCCCCAGACCTGTATCCAACAGAGCACATCTGGGACATCATGTCTCACTCCATCCACCGTCACGTTGCACCACAGACTGTCCAGGAGTTGGCAGATGCTTTAGTCCAGGTCTGGGAGGAGATCCCTCAGGAGACCATCCGCCACCTAATCAGGAGCATGCACAGGCTTTGTAGGGAGGTCATACAGGCACGTGGAGGCCACACACACTATTCATTTTTACTTGTTTTAAGGACATTACATCAAAGTTGGGTCAGCCTGTAGTGTGTTTTTCCACTTTAATTTTGAGTGTGACTCCAAATCCAGACCTCCATGGGTTGAAAAATTTGATTTCCATTTTTTAATTTTTGTGTGATTTTGTTGTCAGCACACTCAACTCTATAAAGAACAAAGTATTTCAGAAGAATATTTAATTCATTCAGATTTAGGATGTGTCATTTTTGTGTTCCCTTTATTTTTTTGAGCAGTGTATAAACCACTGGTTCTAAGGCTTGAACCCAATTAGGATTTGAAAATGGAGAATACCTCCAAAATGTTGCAGGAAATTAGCAGTGTGTGCCAGGATGCAGGAAGAGAGTGTGGATCAGTCAGTCGATTCCCAATGAAGGAGAGTCCTGGTCTCCGCCATTGTCAGCCTCCCCGATGATGTCCACTCACAGGACCCGAGTACACAGACTGAACAAGAGCATCCCCCACAGGTAGACATCCCGACCCCTAACCAGAATTTGCATTAGCTGTTTGCAGATTCTATGCAGTCGGCAACAGGAGTGTTAGGCCTCCAAGACAAGTAGAGCGCGTTAGGGGTCAGCGTGCTCGCTTACCTGGTATCTGTCCAAGTCGTAGCGAGTGTGGGGACCAGAGCAGTGAGTTACCGATTGCCGCCACCGCTGTCTTCTGACGCCAGGCTGATATGGTGACACGTTTTGCCTGCAAGGAAGGTCTGCGTCCGCCATCTTGGGGAGATCCATGTCACAGTGAAGTCTGTGTGTCCGTGCGATATCCCCCACTGGTTCAAGGCGGAAATGGGGGGCACCAAAAGGACTATTTCTCTGGGTTGAGTTGCGCGAACAGGACAGCGGCCACCTTCCCGCTCTATACCTTCACTAGGCCTCACATGGAGCTCCTGGCAAAAACCGCCTATATCTGTGAGATCAAGCATAAAGCTGCCTCTGGAAGAGGTGAGTTTATGTTCATTATTTAATTTTGTTAAAGGGGGCCCAATCATCCAAAGCCATCAGAAACGATCCCATAAATGTGAATTGTTGTGAATTCAAAGTGAATATTTTATTACAGGCCACATTAGCTACGGGCAGGTAGGAACATTCTTCCAACTAAGGGTCAAGAGATGGAGTAGGCCACATGGCCTGACACTGCTCCTTGATGACTGTTGCATGATACCTAAATTGCTTTTGCAGTTAGTTTGAGCTCCTAAAATATAATCTTTATTGACCTTTATATTTCTCCAGCTTAAAGGGACACTATAGTCACCTGAACAACTTCAGCTTAATGAGGTTGTTCAGGTGAGAACTATAGCTCCCAGCAGCCTTTCTCATGTAAACACTGTATACTCTGAGAAAATACAGTGTTTCCATTGAAAGCTAGGAACACCTCCAGTTGCAGTCACTTAGAGTGAACCAGAGGGTGGCATAATATCACATGTCAGCAGACTTCTTGTTTTTCTGAGTCTCAGCATGCAGATTTACAGCTTCAAGCTTGAATACAGTAAGACTTTTACCATATTTATAGAGGCATGAGGGGCCCAAGGGGGCTAGATGGTGGTTTTAACACTATAGTGTCAGGAATACATGTTTGTGTTCCTGACCCTATAGTGATCCTTTAACATTTTATCGCAGAGATGACCAAAAGGTAGAACCCAAGTTGTCGTAGAACTCCTGTTTTGCCTACTCTAAAGCAGCGAATGACCCTAATGTGTATGGAACACCACATCTACGAATACAATGTATATTGTAACATTTTTATTGAATTGCTTAAATGTTCAATACAGAATAAATGTAGACTAAACAAATAAAGTACACGTCCCTCTTTCTTGTATATTTTTTCTGTTTAAATAAAAATAATTTTCTACTAAATTTCCCAACATTCAATAATGAACTATTTCTTTTAAACAAATATATATATATATATATATACACACACACATTTTTTTTCCATGACAAGTTTGTAATGAAGGATGTTTTTTTTGTTTTTTTTTTTATAAAACAAATTCTTTTGTTCAGATTTAATAGACTATCTAAGAAATTCGTAATAAACCATCTTTAATATGCTGCTTTCTAGTTGAATCTAGCTCATTGCTGGTAATTGTATTCATAAAATAAAGTCATGCTCATCATTACAGAAGTTAAAATGGCTTTTATGGTTTTGATTTTTTTTGCTGAAATCTGTTTTATGGGGGATAATGGTATAACGAGCTAACCGCAACGCTCCCATTAATTGCACGCAGTTAAATATTAACAAGTCTTTTCTTAGATGGAGCAAAAACCAAGGCTTGCAATAAACAGATTATGTGGAGGACTTCGTGGAAGGGTGCTAGTTTCTAAGAAAATCCAAGAAAATGAAACCAAGGCATATAGTTTAACCAAATATTGAATTTCTCTTCTTGTAATTCATTATGAAAGTAAATAAAGAGAGCCAGGCCATCTATTTTACATTAAACCATCAGTTGTTCAATCTACTGGCAACCCGGGAGCCTTGGTTGTGTGTTGGAAGGCAAAACTGTATTACATATCACCCCAGCATGGAAATGGTTAATTCTGGGATTGCTGGAGGTGTACACCAAGCGTTCGGTCTAGAAGTGACTCTTGTTTACATATTTGTCCATGTATGTTTTATAAGTGCTGCTTCAGAGCACTAGACATGAGTAAGGAAAAGCATTCTCATATTCGTGAATATAACCCATTTCGTTACAAGTTATTGTGAGAATCAACAGACCCACTCGGGATCAGATTGCAGCAAAAAAAATAAAGTTTATTATAGAGATATTTTTCATAAGCCCAGCGGGCCTGGACAATCCATTTCTATGAGCCAAAGAGGGCCATTAAGGCATTACCTGCTATTACTATTCTGAACAGATTTGAGCGAAGTTCTAAAAGTTAAGTAATCACCATGGAAACCAGCGGAACACGCAGAAACATTCCATTATTTATTTGTTAAATTTTTACAACAAAGTAACTATTCAGATCATTCACTTTGATAAATCTCCCTCATTCGTTCATCATTTGCCATTCTGGACCTGAAAGTAGTATTGTTTTATAGCCTGGGCACCACCTCGGATAAGAGTGAGATGCACACGTTTTTGTTTTTTTCTTTTTAATTTTAATTAAAGTTTAGTATTTAAA